CCTGCCGAGGACCCGACGCCTTACTTAAGTAATTGATTGTAATCTGTTCACCCCTGGAGGTGATTCAGTCTTTTGTAACCGACTCAAAATCTAGTGGAATCATTTTCAATTGGGCTATGCCTCTTGGTTTTTTCCCTTTTTAGGGTTTTCCACGTAAAAAATCCTGTGTTCTCTGTGTGTGCTAGTTATACGTACAACGCTAAGACGTAGAATCAAATCTCTATCGCCGCGTAATTTCTAGCCCGCAACAATCATAATTTATGCTTTTTTTTTCTTCTTTTATGAAATTTATGTATTAGGCTTCCCATGGGATAACTCTTAATGCTTTATAAACTGATGTATCAAGAATGTAATTTTTTAAAACTACTGTAGAAATGACCTTCTAGTTAAATTTTTTTTAAAGTAATAAAAATAGTGGCTAAATAGAATAAGTGATTGCAGTCTAAAATGTATAGTAAAAAAGATGATCCAAACAAAGTCTCAGACTTCGCTTGAGACAACTTTTTATTGCTACTTTAAATTGAATTTTAGTAAAAAATTTTAATTTTGTACTGAAATTTGTTTTAAGAAGCAATAAAAAATTGGTCTCAAACGAAATCTTAAAAAACTGATTTCTACATCAATTTTTTAAAAAATTATTTTAAAAGGAATAATTTTATAATCACCTTTTAAAAAATAGTTGCCGCCCAAAATAAATCCTAAATCATTTATGAGATTTCCTTAAGAATATAATATAATTTTTCTTTTTTGCTTTCCTACTGTATTATGACTTATGAGTGCTTACGTTTTTTTTTCCTTATCCTCCCTAAAAATTTCGCGTTAGAAAAACTTATTAGCTAACGTACCAACTAACTTTTTCTTCGTCCTTCACTACATTTAAAAATTCAAAATGGGCGGAAGAAGAGAGAAAATGGCGGAAGGCGGACGTTATCGGCTCGTCTCGATCTGTGAGAAGTTTGAAGAGCCAATAAAATTGTCAGAAAAAATAGTAACCACGTCAATTTCTTTCCGTTCCTGTTCTTCTCTTGGTTAGGGTTACGTTTCTTGATATGGACGGCGATGATGACCAGCAGCAATCGAAGCTCATCGACGAGCTCTGCGCTCTCATCTTCGCCCTTCTCCGCTCTCCCCACCTTTTCTTCCCTTCGGCATCGACGCCTTCGCGGACGCTGCGGCCCTGTGGCGGCGCCGTCGCGGCTTTGTTCCGTCCGCAGCAACGATCGCAGTTCACTCCGATGGGCTTCGTGTCGCTCCTTCTTGGAGCTTCGCTAGCGCTTATACTTTGTGGATCCGTCACGTTCGTGCTCGGATGCATTCTGATGCCCTGGATCATAGGCGTATTGATGTTTTCCTACTTCGTAGAGGTCATCTCGAGTCTCTCTGAGATTGGCAAAGCGGTGTTGTGCTTGTTCGAGCCTGCGCCGCTGAGGACCCCGGCGAAGGAGGTCTCAGGTAAACTTCCCGATAAATTGCCCTATTTTGGATTTGGGTTTCTCTCATATTTTCATTTCGGATGGAAATATTCGGTTAATTTGTGATTTATGCTGAGAAAAAAAGTAAAATTTTGTCCTTTCCTACTTAGTCCTGCTTTGTTCTGTTCTTTGTTGCGTCCAAGAAAGTGTTACCAGACCGATAAATATTCATGGAGGATGCCGGCTCCCATAGTATGTGATACAAATTATAGTGATAATCTTTCTTCTGCTTTTTCTTTTATTTTGTTGAAGGAAGATAGCGATAAATGTGTTCACCCATAGTTATAATTTTTTTTTTTTTTTTTTTTTTTGGTTTAAATGTTTAATGCTATATGCAACTTTAAAAAAAAATTATGAATAATTTGTGGAGAGTAAAAATTAAGTTACACCATAACAGTTGCAAGAGATGATCTTAGTGTTGACTTCTTTGATGGATTAAGGGATAAGACTAATATAAGTCAACAAGTAACACAAAGCATTACTATAAAAATTCATGTAATTGAAATTCTAATCTTCAATATAGTAATTGAAATTCTAATCTCCATCAGGAAATCCTTTTTTTAATTGGTGTGTTAAAGGGCCCTTCATGCCAAGGAAGAGAGGACGAAGTTTCCATCTCTTACTATACTCTTTGGAAGAGATATGAATAACTTTTTGTTATGTCTTTTTACCACTTTTTAAGGCAAGTAGTTAACGCAAATCATCTTGGTCAGTTGGCTGGGAATTTTGGTTATCAATTAAGATGTTTTAAATTCGAAGCCTGTGCATATAATGTGTGTGAGCTTGCCTTAATTGGGCTAAATGTCTAAAAAAAGGGGGTTGGTAGTTAGGTTATGACTGTATGTTTTAGAATGTGGTGTTGAAAGATGGACGTGCCGTGACTGATATTGAGAGAATTATCTTAAATGTTGGGGATTTTATCATGATATGAACGCAGTATAATTAATCGAAAAATTTTAGTCCATTTTTTAGGAAATTGGGTAGGGCTTGTAAGCCTTATATGAGATTTTTTTTTTTTTTTTTTGGCTTTTTTGATAATTTTGAGATGCTATTAGTTTGTGGAACATGCTTCACATTAGCATTAGAGTTGGTGGAGACTTATAAATTTTATGTATTGTCATTATCACAATTTCCCCATAAGGAAGGCTTTAATATAGTAGGGCTAGCAACATATTTTAGGAACTTCGATTGAGGCTTATAGTTCTTATGTTTCATTACTTATGTGAGTTTAATCATACTCCTAGTGGAAGAGTTTATTGCAAAAAAAAGATTAATATTGCTTTACTTTTGCTAATAAAGGAAGCCCTAAACATTATATTGTACATTTCTTTTTCTATCAAGAATAATTGAAAATTTCCATAGAATGGAAAAAATATTGAAGATTATAGTTGATCAAAATGAGGATTGTAATGTTATGGTGGAATGTTAGGGTTATTGTTAAGCCGGTCCAGCCGGTCCATACGGGATCGGCTCATGCTAACGGAGGCAGAACTTCTCTGCCTCCTGTACTTGCCGATCGTACCGCCCAGGCCAGCCGAGCTGTTCAGGAAGGATTTTTGAGTGCGGTAGGAGGGAAACTTGAATGTAGGGAGTGCTTAAAGATTTCCTTTTGGATTGTATACATTAAATAATTTATTTTTTTAGGATTAGAGCTTCTTGAATTGGGCTGAAATTTGAGATCTCTCTTAGGTTTTAGGCTCTAGCGGTGTTTAGATAATTAGGAGAGATAGATCCTCCTCTCGAATAGAGGATCAATTGTATCTTGGTATTTTCCATTTCCATTTCATCAAATAATACTAATTATCTACTGTTTTTCTAGTTTGTGTGGATTTTTGGCAGAGAATTCTAGCCGTTTTCCAAATATTTATAGGAATTACTTGAAATCTACAAGTGTCTCCTATCAGTTATCTAGATAATGAATTTGTAGAGAATGATTTGTATTTCATTCATTGAATGTTGACAAAAGGAAAAGGTCTTTCAGTAGGCCTATTCATTGTGGATTGATGGTCCAATGCTCACACTTTGGAGCAAAGAAGATGCAGCCTCAAGCACAATGTAAGTAGAGTTCAAATAGGCAAACGAGCATGGCTTACCTCTCTCCTTTATTGCGTCAACAGAGTTGCGCATGACTAAGTGAAGATGAAATAAAACAACAACATCAATTCTTCTTCCTCTTCGCTTGCTTCTTATGGTCGGGGGCTTGATGTAATCTCACCACAATGTAAGTTTACAATAATGCTTATGCATATTTAAAGAAAAAGAGAAAAAAAAAAAAAAACTTGTAGGAGCTAAAAAAAAAAAAAAAAAAAAAAAAACTTGTAGGAGCTTATATAATCATGCTATCATTTTCGTAACTATCTATAACAAAACATCATCAAAATCATCATCTTTTATTTTAATCAATTTTTTTTTTTTTTTAATTTTTACTAGTTAAATCTATGGTGTCTTTAGGTTAAAAGTCTTGAACATGAAAAGTGGTATTGGTCCCCTTTAGTCAAGATAATAGCTTTATAGGCAAGGGTTTGGACGAAATTTTAAAAGGAGCTTATAAGGGGATGATGAATTTCATAATAAGAGCACGGTAGCAAAGAATTAAAAAAAAAAAAATAGCCACACCTTATGTTTTTTCCCCTGCCATGCAATAGGGTTGATGCCTATATGGCAATGAAGAAACTACCTTGCAATCATTGAAATTCCAGAACTCAAGAGAGAAGTTAAGCCATCTGTCTTTTATTCTTAAGAGCCTTTTGAGGTTCATTTACTATTTTTGTAGGAAGAATGTGCTGAACGAGATCAATCTGCTCTTCATTTTTTTGGGTGTTGTCTACTTGCAGCTCTTATTTATGCTTATATTTTTTTGTACTCATAGAAAAAGGGAACACCGGCTCTTAAGTTTTATTTTGAACTTTTTTTGTGCTCTTATGAGCAGTAGCGAGCTGGAGTTCCTTTCTATGGATCTTGTAACCTTTTTTTTGGATTAACGCGTAGGCCCCTTTGTGAGTTTTAACAAAAAAAAAAAAAAATGAAGAAACTACCTTCTCTAGGAACATTTTTTCCTAAGCTTTTTCAAGACTCATTTGAAATCTATATTAATCATATGAGCTTAAGTTCATAATCATAATTTTGATGAATAGAAATCGCTAAGTTCTAAATAAGTTAATTCACATTCTACAGAAGCAAAACATGGGTGTCAACATGCTCTGTAAATTTGATTTCTCTACAGTAAGGAATTAGTTTTGCAGCATAAAGATAGATGAGCTCCCTTTCTCGAGCAGCTGCGGATTCTGTCAGGTTGACACATGGGATGGAGGGTTAGAGCCTTCTTGAGTGGGTTCTATTCTTCTTTTTTATCCTCAATGATGATCTCCTTCCATAATTCCTATTTATGCTCTTCTAATTCTATAAATGGGGTAATGGACAATAATACTCGCTACCTAAACATATTGATAAACAAAGTCACCAACAAAATCATTTTGATGGAAGTGAAGACCTGCTCGGAATGAGCCAGTGGCGGTGGGTCAATGAGCTTCCCATCTGCTTTAGGCCTACTAGAGAACTATTCAAACACCAGCAAGAAGCACCACTAGATTTTGTTTGAGACAGCTTTTTAAAACAGCTTTCTATTACAAAAATTTTTAATTCAAAAAAATTTTATACTAAAAAATTACTTTAAGAAGCAGTAAGAAAATCATCCCAAACAAAGGAAGGCTATTATTCTTCCCAACATTGCTTTTCGAGTTTGCAAATTGAAACACTTGATCTTAACTCCAGCAACTCCAATTTCCATGGTAACCTTTGATCTTCTCCTTGGAGTTTGAGAATCCTTCTGGTTACAAACTACTGCAATTAAAACGTGGATTCTATTGTTTTTAAAACTAAGTTGTTCTCACTACTGATTCATTACTAACCCTATGGCTGGATGGTAGTGCTGACTCGATTTTGTTCATATTCTAAAGATTCATTGATTTTTTTGTTATTTTCTTTCACAGACCAATTCTTTTGAAGTGTGTAAGTTGGTGGTAGATGCCAAAAGATTTGGCAGGCCACCATGGAGTAAGCTGGGCGACGCTTATTTCGTCGCCGCCCTCTTCACAGGATATCTCATTGGAAATTATAAGACTTTTTATTGTAATGCTGATCATATTTTCATAATTTTTAAGATTGTTGAATGAATGTTTTATTTTCCTCAATATGGTTTGCATTTTGTGGTGAAAATAATTTATTTAATTCCCATATTGTATAAATACAAAGTATATTTAGGTTTCATCATTTCCATTGAATGTGTGAACTTTTTAGTCTATTTGATATTTTATTTCAGATGATTGGTTAACAATGCTTGAAAGTTGAGAAATGATATCAAAATAGCTAATTTTTAGCAACTTGTCCACTTCGCATTAACAACTTCGATGTTTATAGCTCTCCGTTAGCATCACCATCTTGGCCACCCTCATCATCAAGTCATCGCCACCATCATTAGGCACAATCGCCACATTCGAGTTCAATCTACTACAAATGTTTGCATTTCTTTTAAGACTTCGAAAGGTCATAATTAATTATCATTTGTAGTCACAAGCTTTTACTTCTCAAACTAATACATTTTTATAGGGTCCTTCCTCAGTTACCTCACGCAATGATATAAATACTATGCTACTTTCATCAATGATTTCTCGTGTTTTGTTTGGTTATTTTCTATGCAAACTAAATATGAAATTCCTTTTCACTCCATTCATTTCAAAACACTTATTGAAAATAAGTTACATTATAAAATCAAATGCTCAAGGATTGATGATGGCACTGAATATCTCAATAAATAGCTTCACACTTTTGTGCCACCCATGATATTTTATATCAAATTAGTTGCCCATACACACCAAAGCAAAACAACCTAGTTGAACACAAACAATACCATAAACTTGAAACTAATCGAACCTTCATGCTGCCAAGCTTCAAACAGCGCCAACTCAATCTATCCTTATTCTAGATGACTACAATGTCCTCACATACATAGTCATTTATATCAACGACATACTACTTATCGAAAACAATTCAGCCATCCGCTCAAGATAAAAAATCTCGCCTCAAGCTCTCTATGAAAAATCTAGGCCAGGCAAATCATTTCCTATGCATCGGCATTCACAAAACGCCAACTGGATTGTTTCTATAACAAAAATCGTATGCTCAAACAATACTTTACAAAGCAAGAATGACTTCTTGCAAGTCCATCTCCAATAAAACTCCATCCAAACAACTACACACTTCAACTTCTACCACCTCACTTCAACCCAACACTCTAATGTAATCTCATCGGTTCACTTCAATATCTAATAATTACCCAAGCCAACATATCCTTCACCATCAAATACCTCTATAAACACATGCATGATCCACTTCCACTTCATTCATTACTACTCAAATGCCTCTTCTAATACATCAAAGGCACCTCAATCTTTGGCCTACCAATCACTCAAGGTCCTTGCACTTCTAAATCCTTCTCTGATTTCGATTGGGCAAGTGATGCTACAACCAGATAAACGAAAACATGCTGCTTTTGTTACCTTGGACCAAATCTCATTTCTTGAAGTGTCAAAAAGCAATCAATCATAGCTAGATCTTCAACAAAAGCAGATTACTGAGCGCTCGCTGCTGCTGCAACTAATATAATTTAGCTCCATCGTATTCTTCGGGAATTTCACATCCGACGCCACATCCCACAAATCCATATGGTGACAATATTTCAATCACTGCACTCCCCAACAACCCCATATTTTATATGCTCAAGCCAAACATATTGAAATTGACTACCACTTCATCCACGAGCATGTTCAATCTCGAGAGATTCATATTCTTCCTATTCAATCTCAATAACAGCCTACCGAAATCTTCGCTAAACTGCTTTCAATACTTCTAAAGATAAGATGACAGTTCAATAGGGCACCATCATCCGACCACCTCTCTACTACACATAGAGCAGCCACTCCTATCTACCACTCAACCGCATGATCAAAACCATGTAGGCTATCACCCTACACGTGTAAAGCAAGTTGCTCTTGCTATCCAACCATTATCAGTCACTTTTGCATATTTACTTATAAACAGTGAGAGTCACAACATACAAAATACAACAGCTACTACGAAGTTCTTCATTCTCTATTTTCCATAGCAAATGTTCTCTTCTTAGTTTATTCCACTACATGTCTTTCTACAATTTTGGGCTTCCCTTGACATTGAAACACGTGATCCCCACATTTTATTTATTTTTTTAATATCTTCAAGTTTTCTATGATTACTTCTAACTATATCATCAGGTTTTCTAATGGTTACTTCCAACACTTCAGTGCTCACATCTAAAAAAAAAAAAAAAACTACTATGAATCTATGATGTCGGTAAGCAGTCAGTAAAGTTGGAAAACACATCTACAAAATACGCTATGATTTGGTATCTAAGTTGTCAAAATTTGTTACCTATCTCTCAAGTAAGCATTCATTAGAAGAGCGAAGGAAGGAATCCACAACAAAAAGAAGAGCAAAAGGAGCAAAAGCTTCTTCTAGAAATCACCAACCATTTCTCTGTGAAAAATATTATCACTAATCCCTCATTATACTCTAGTAATCCACTCCAAAGAGTTAATTAAATTAAGAGTTAATTGATAATTAAACAATCTAGACGACTCCTGCAACGAGAATAGGCCCTCCAAATGAAAATCATGAAAATGAAGTTTATTTTTAAACAACCTACTTTGGGTTAAGTTTTCAATTCGTAATAATTGATTTTTATAATGAGTATAATTACTTCTGCAGTCTGCTTGATCTAACTAATTAATTAAATGAGCTAATTATAACAGACTTCTTGATCTAAGCTAATAATAAACCTTTTGTAATTATGCTAATAGGTTAATTATTCTAATTAATCAACAGACATATTGTATCATCTCTTCAACTAATAGCTGCTGCTTCTGATGATGGATTCAACTTTTCATTTAAATATAGAGTTATATTGTTTTTCATCTCTTCAGATACTTAAATAATGCAATATTTGCCCAATTTTTCTTGACGGAAGCAGAACTTATAATAAACTTTAGCTGGAGATTTCTATGAAAACAACTTCAACAATATATTCTAATTTTTTATTTATCTATAACCATTTCCATTTCTACAATAATTTCGTCTTTAACTTCAAATCTTTTTCGTCTTTTTCAATGTTCTAAGCATCCAACATAAAATAGTACAAAACTTGTACCAGGGAGAGAACGCTTCTCAGATCTCTCGAGGTCCAAACTTTGAACTCGTCAAGTGCAGTAGTCGCAATAATTTTTTATTTTTTATTTGGCATAAAACAATCACTTTCAAGGTGGCAGTATATGTGAGAAAAACGATTAATCTTTGCTTCGTGGGAACCGAGAATCTCATTCTGAAGCTCGCTGAAAGCCCACCTACCTTCCAACGGATCCCAAATTCCGAATTGGTTAGAAACCCTAAGATTTCCCTCAAAATTATTTACAAAAAACTGAAGCAATCCAGATAAATCATTAGATGAAGGAAAATTAGGCATTAGACACAGTAATATAAATAGCAGAATCTGATAAAAGCCGATAAATATAGGGTAAACAGGGATCAGAACATTGAACGGAAGAAAACCCTAACCCTATATGCTGAGGGTGAAGGCATGTGTCTACCCGGTGTAGATGTGAAGGTGGAGGGCGACGATGATGACGGAGAAGATGGCAAAGAAGATGAGGGTGTGGATGAAGATGGCCTTTCCGTTGGTCCGCATGCTGCCGAACTCTGCCACTCGGTGGTTGCCAGGAAGCTCGAAGAGGAGCCCCGGAGAAAGAAGAACGAATAGGAGAACGCCCACCACCACAGGTGCCCAGTCCGCCATCGCTGCAAGTGACCCACGATCTCTTCCCAGCGAAGTCCGAATGAGATGGATGACGGGGAAGAAAGCGAACGAACGGAGACACAGTGTGAAGGGACTTCGAGGAGTACCGACCCCTTTGTCGGCTATGAAACGTAAATGTCAATATGGCATCTTTGAAATTTTCCAATTTTTATTTTTATTTTTATTTTTTGAAGGCCACTTTAATTTCATATAAGAAAAATTATAATGAAACTATAAAACATTGCAACAATGCTCAAGAGAATATAATATAAATCCAAATGCAAAATGATAGAAAAAAATAACTATAAGAAAAATATAAAAATGGAGTGAAGGAGGATTAGAATTTAGATTATGAAAAATAAAGACCATTCCAGAAGTAAAATAGAGGCGACAAAAATCGTTCATCACCGTCCAGATTGGCCAAAATTCGAAGTTGCTTGTGCTACCTAGACAAAGTTCATAGTCTAGGGTCCAAAATCAAAGCTGCAAGAAAAACTTGAAGGAGTGCCAATTCTTCCATTAATGATGCTCAAGTTGAATGACATTTTTTGCATATTTAAGAACAATGGTAAAGATGCAAGTGTGTGCATTCCAAACTTTCTGCAATTACGTTCTTTCCAGATGTATTAAACAAGAGCACAAATCTACAAGTAATACCTAGGTTTAATGTCCAAAGGAATGGCCAAACACTTCCATAAAAATTAAGATTTGTTGCAAGTTTGGCCAATAGAAGAAGGTAGAACAAGGTTGCAAATCACACAATAAGTGAAAAGTAAAATCATATTAAAAAACATAAATGATTGGAGTTTAACGATTGTTATTACAAAGGACACAAACAAGGAGAAACTTGAATATGTCTCTTAATAAGAGTTCTTGAAGTTTTCAGCCCCCCATTTAAGGTAGGCCAATCATAAACTAAGAAGAGAAAGGTCATTTCTGCCATAGCTGATTGGCCCAACTAGGGGAAGCATCAACAAATAAGATGCAAATAAAATGGTTATTGAAGGGGAAAGATAAACCATTCCATTGAAAAAAATCCACAGCAACAGAAAAAAAAAAGAATTTAGAAATGGAGTCTCTAATATTCCTAGGTAAAAAGCTAGGGAGATGCCACATCCCATTAATAATAAAATCAGATACCATAACTTTAGAGTTAATCATGGATAGAATGTGAGAGCCACCATCAAGTTTAGCAATAGATTGACCGCTAATCTAGAGATCCCAACAGAAAGAGAAGTGAATGTTGGGCAAAATGTTAAACCTTAAATAAGTAGAAATTGTATTTGCAATAATTTGGATTACTTTCCACCACTTAGTGCATCTATCAGTGCCCTTTCCAAAAAGATAAGTATTTCTATTTTAAGTAGTCACTAAAGAGGGGATTTTTGGTAATACATCTTCAAATAAGGCACAATAATAGGAAAATATGCGATTTGAGATGAAAGGAGTACCAAAGACGCCATATTGTCTAGGTGTGCAGGTATTTTCCCATGATATGAATTGAAGCTTCCCAGTTTTAATATCATTGTGATATAGGGATCAAGCTAAAGCTTATTGAGGTGCTCAATATAAGATTTAGGTAAGATGACACCTCTAATCCAATAAGCAATAGTATTTGAGATTGTGAATTTAAAATATTGCATTATACTTACTAGTGATAAAGACTTGCATTTTCATCCCTCTAAAAGATATGTGATATTGTTAATAAAATTTTGAAAATAAAAAAACTTAAGCCTTCTAACAAAAATAGGGATGCCAAAGTGGGAAAGAATAGAATATTAAGTAGGTAAATTAGGTATGGAATTTAAAGCATCATGGTTAGTATGATTATTAGAATACATAATGGAGCTCTTAGTAGCATTAGCTTTGAACCCATAAACCTCACCAAAATCTTGAAGAATCCTCTTCACAGCATGTATATTAGTTGCTAAAGCCTGATCAAATATCAAAAGGTCATTAACATATAAGAGGTGGGTAACAAAAAGCACTACCCACATTAATCCCAGAGCAAGAGCCATCCAATATATCCTGATTAAACAAGGTAGAGAGGCAATCCATGGCTATACAAAAGAGGTTAGGGGAGAGTAGGTAGCCTTTTTTAAGGCCAGAGGAAGAATTGAAAAATTCCTCTAGATTGCCATTGATGCAAATAGAGAAATGCACATTGTCAATGCATGCTTTAATCTAACCTATAAACACGGTAGGCAAACCTTTGACAAACAAACTGTTGAGAAAATCCCTATAAACAATATCAAAAGCTTTAAAATATGCCAAACTTAGCATAGAATATGCCATCTTTTTTAGCATATTTAAAGTATGAAATAAGGTTAGTAGCATGTAGAATATTATCATAGAACACCCTATTTACAATGAAACCAGCTTGAGTAGAGTCAGTTAGATAAGGCATAAAATCTTTAAGTCTATTAGCAAGCAGCTTGGAAATACTTTTATAAATGGTGTATTTAAGGGAGATGGGTTTATAATCTTTGATGTGGCCCGAAGAACATCTTTTAGGAATAAGGAAAATCCCTTTAGCTTTAACTTTCTTAGATATGTAGCTGTTCTTAAGAAGTGTTAAACAACTTGATAGATATCTTTACCCCTAATTTTTCACGTGGAAGTATAGAAATCAAAAGCGAAACCTTCAGGTCAAGGTGAACAACACTTAGGAGAGTTAAATACCACTTGTTTAATCTCCTCATTAGTGAAAGGATCCACAAGGATAGGAACTAAAAAATCTGAGATGTGGTTACCGTAAGGGAGAGAAGACTGGGAAGAGGGGGGTGGAGAGCTGAGGAGTTTCTTATAATGCTGAATAGTGATAGAGGCAATGCCCTCATGACTGAAGTAGGTCCCAAGGTCACTTTGTAAGCTCTATAATGAAGTTATGATTATTCGGCTTCCTTTAATTTTCCCATATAAAATTTTAAGTCTTTCTCCCCAAAAGATAGTCAACAAGTTTTTCCTCTTTGAACCACCTAAGGCATAAGCATCATAAAAATGGGACAATTTCTCAAAGGTAGACTTGTCCTTAAAATTAAGTTCAAAATTAGAAGTCTCAGAGTTCATAAGGTCAAAATTGAGTCTTTATTGCGTATCTAAGGTTTTGAAAGAAGTAGATATGTAATTTGAGGAATTTCAATTTTGGGACTTGATATTGCTTTCAAGTTTTGTTAGCTTAAGGTAAAGGGTGGAGATGCGGTCCATAGAGTAGTGCTAAGAAAAAACTAATAATAACAACAACCCAAAATTGGGGCTTACTCCAAAAATTCTTATAATGTAACCTAACATGGTTAGGGGTCGGGGGTTAGAAGAAGGTGATAATAGCGGAGTGGTCTGAGGAGGAGGAGTGGGAAAAAGTGAGAAAACTCAACATCCAATTTTCATTAACCAACACTCTATCTAGCTTTATGAGAATAGGACTATTTAGCTGATAGTTAAGCAAGTGCAATGCATACTAACAGAGGCAAGGTCAAAATGACCATTCTCAAAGATCATATTATTGAGCTCCTTGAGCTTGGAATAAGGAATAACAACACCCCCTTTTCTTACCATGCTAAATCTTGAAATAATTGAAACATCCCATAATAGCGCAAGGAAAATTAGTGAGAGAGATTTAAGAAACAATGTTATTTAGATCAGACTAAAAATACTCTTATCAGGAGTGTTGGGACTAATAAAAGTGGGGGAGAAGGAAACTTTTATACTGCTCCATTTGATCCAAATATGATCAGTCTGAAAAGATTAAAGTTATAGTAATTCGCTTCATTGTAAAAAATAGAGTGCGAGGAAGTAAACCAATTTTTAGATATCATATGATGACTAATTTTATCTTTAAGAATGGAGATAATGTCGAGGTTAAAGGATCTGATAAGACCTCAGAGAGAGGTTGATATTATAGTTCGTAGGAGGAGGAAGGGGAGAAGATGGAGGTGAAGTAGATATGGCTTTCATAGTGGTTTGCTATCATGGAAGGGGCATATGGATTTTTGACAATGGATGTCTAAATTTTTGGCTTCAGTTTCTTCCTCTCACATCCTAATGAGGAGGTTGGCTATTTAGTGGGCTTAAAGAGTTTGATGGGCATGATGTTCGAGGATGATTAAGACACCTGCATCTAGAGCACGAGGTTGACTTTCAGTTGTATTATACATGAAGAGAATTCAAATTCCTAGCAATGTTAACACTTATTTCTTCAAGACGTTTGGATGATTTCTCTGTTTGAACATATACTATGAAGAATGTAAGTCTGGTTTCCAACAAGAGAGTGAGAGGTTTTGAATTTTTATCCACAAAGACAAGAAGTCAAACTCGTCTTTCATATGAATGAAATCCACATACCACTTTTTAAAGATAAAAGGCTTATTGAAGAAGAACCACAGTCCTACAGACCATACCATATCAAAGTCAATTGAAGAAGAGAACTTAAATTAAAAGAAGCCATTATTATGGGAGAGGAGGGACAAATGATTTTGACCTATGAGGATGATGTGTTGAACCTAGGGAAGTCTAGTCTTCTACAAAATTATCTTTATAAGCCTTTTTAACATTTCATGCATTTATGATTTGTAGACTTCAACTAGTATGCATTGCATTAGAAACTAACTAAAAATTAAAATTTAATTATATTGGTTTTAGGAGCATAATATCCTTGATAAGCACAAGACCACTTAAGAACCTCTATAGATGTCGGCCTTAATTTCTAAAAATTCAGCCACCCACCCATCTTTCATAAAGACTGAATAACATGGAGTTTATATGATTACGTGGTTAGTCGACTTTTCTTTTTAGGCAGAATATAAGTTCAGGATGCATTAGCTAGGACATGGGTGTTAGTATCATGTATAGAATACTAAACTCACTTTAGATTTAGGGTTCAAGACTACTACTATAGGTGTCCCATAGCATGCCTCATTGACGGGTAAGTCCTCTATCATTCAGAGGTTATAAATTCCACCTATCTGCATCATATAGATGACATTGCCTCCATTTTTCTCTCTTGTATGCTCTGAGTGCAGTATTATCTTTTCTCTAGTTTCTTTTCACTACCTTAATACTTCTGGATGATGATATGAGCTGTGTATATTGACTAAGCCAAGTTGAACCTCTCCTTCCCTTTGAATAGGAAGTTCCTAGACTCTTCTCTATGTGACAATTCCATATGACAGAATAATATATAATCCTTAATTGAGAGTCTTCTTAGGTCCCAACTTAAGATGTAATTAACCACGGGGGCTTACGCTCGTGGAAAATCGAATCCCACATCAAAAAAACCCCACTCGAGTTGATTTATCGGGTGGGAGAAATCTCGTGACTTTGATTACGTCATACATATTATTATTCATCGAGGTGCGTAGGTGAAAGCCACTATCCTCAATGGTTAATCATATGTATGATCTCATCTGCCATCCCATTGGTCCACTTACGAAGAGTGCAAAGGCCTATGACTGTTTTGTCCTACGAGATAGTGCGGTCGTACCCTTTGCATTTTGTCCCCTGCCGAGTAGTGTCCTTTTGGAGGCCCGCAGGGATCTCTCACTCTATAGATTTTTCATCTCTTTTTATTGTAGCTCTTTGAGAACTTAATGAGTTGTTGTTCTCTTTAAGGACTTTTAACCACTTTTTTATGATTAAAATTATCCTTTAAAAAAAATCACTAGCAAGAAGCGTATATGTGTAGTTTTATAAAATTTTTATCTTGTAATTTACTTTGGAAACATAATATTTTTCTAATTTCTTTATCCTATTCAAGAATACAAGCATGATTATAGCCATAAAGTCAAGGCATGTTAAGGTTGTAAGAAGGACATAGGTGATTGCTACATCAAGGTTGTCAAATTCATCCTTTGGCTTTAAAATAAAGAGCGAGAAAGCCAATAAAATACAATTAGAGCAGAGAACTTGGAGAACATACCCAGGTTGGAAGTGATTTATAATGGCTTTAAGGTAAAACTCAGCATAACTAAGCTCCACACACACACACACACACAAATATCATGATTTCTACAATAAACACAATATTCATGAAATTTCTCTTCCTTTCATAATATGTCCTTTTTAGTAAGTTACTAGTGTAAATGAGCAAAAAATTAATTTATTTAAATATTAATACAAAACCTTCAAAAATATTAAATTATTAAATTTTTAATGTTATAAAATTTAAATTAAATAAATAAAATATGTATTTACATTTTTATAATAATAATTAAATTAAAAAATCATAAAAAATAGATAACACTCTTAAAATTTATTAATAATAAATAATTTAAATTGATATATTAAGATAATGTTTATTTTGTTACTGCAAATGAAGTTCAATTTCAGAGAGGAGATACTTGGCCTTCTCAAGGTGATCAACCAGGACACCATTTATAGGAATATATGTATCATCTATCTCCACATGTTTGTTGAAAAGCCATATGAAAGTTAGAAGCTCGTCTCATTTGCTCAATTGCTTCACATGTATGTTAGCCTTTGAATTCTTTGCCCCTTTCATCAAAAGCTCAACCCATGCTGTGGTTATAACTCCCCAGCTCTCTTCCTCACTAATAACAAAAATTAAATGAGCAAGCACTCGTGCTATCACAAATAAAGATTTATTATTGATCCAATCTATTGGAGTAGTCATCATGTTCATGCACACCTCCTCAACTTTTGCATTCGACATTAGCTTGTGATGACCATCACAACTTTCATGAATGAACTGAACCATATCATTAATAGCATTCCAAAATAGCACTGAGCTTTCTCCTCCCATGGTAGACATCATATTTGGTTGCATCAAAACTATGTGCATCATATGGTTTGATATGTACTTACAAGCTTTCATTTCTAAGTTTTTTCTCTTTACTCCTCCTAATCTATTTTCCTTTGCTTTCATCTCAATTCGCTGAGGATACAAGGAATGGTGAGACTTTGGATTCCAATGGAAGCAGAGCTCAGTGGTGATGTGCCATATTAGAACTTGTTGGTCAAGTGATAAGCCCTCAAAAAGCTGAACGAATGGTACTACAACCCAATCAGCGATGGTTGTTACTTGTTGAAGGGCAGAGAAGCCCGCTGGTTTGTTGAATTCCTCTCTTGATAAATGCAAGCGTCTTTTTAAATAGGAAGAAACGATCTCTAAAACCTCTTGTGTTGTCTGTGCAGGTTGCATTGTCTGTAAGGTGTATGTTTTTAGATCAGTGGTTCTCCAAGTCATATACAACTTTATTTCTTGCACTAAGCCCACCTTTTTTGAAACCCAACTTATCACTCTCTGTCGAGGAGCTTTGCTAGGTGCAGAAATCATGAGGCAATTAAGAAGTAGATTCAATTGTGGCATCTTTATTGACCAATGCCTTCTCTTATGATAAGCCTTTTTAATTCTGACAATGTGCTCAGCTAGCAACACACTCCAAGTGCTTAACTTTTTAACATTAAGGAGAGAAACTATCATCATGTTTGAGAATATGAGCATGATTGTAGACATAAAGTCAAGGCATGTAGAGGCTATAAGAAGAACATAGGTTATTGTTACATCAAGATTGTCAAAATCATCCTTTGGCTCTAAAACAAAGAGTGAGAAAGCCAACAAAATACAAGTAGAGCAAAAAATTCGGAGAATGTACCCAGGTTTGGAGTGATTAACAACGGCCTTAGTGTAAAACTCATCATAAGCATAATTAAGCTCCATTCTCATAATCATCAAAATCTCCTTTGCTGTCATCTTCTTTACATTATCTCTAATTTCTTCATACTCATCAAAATATGGAATAGCATCAATAAAGGAAGGCTTGGTAGCAGAGTATAACCAGAAAGCTTGACTCAAAGCATTCAAATCTTTTGTTGGTAATATTCTATCAAAGGAGGTGATGGAACTGCGAATGCCTTCAACACTGGCTTTGTAAAGTGAGTAAGAGCGTTCTACATATTTAATGATGGCGACTGAGAATATCAAGAGGGTGGGGATGAGTAGACGAGTGTTGGGAAGGGAGCGAAAGAGAACATAAAAGGCAATAAAGAGTTCATACCCAAGCCCCAGAAGATGGCGAGCCCAAAGTTCATTGTCTTCCATAGAGTAAGCAGTGATAGTGTCAGGGCCACCAAGATGGAGGATAAGAAAGGGAGCCCAAAAAGCCATGACAACGTTGGAGGGGGAGGAATCATCCATAGTGCTACTTAGTTGGCCAAGGACAAAGTCGGCAATCCAGTTAGCAAATAGGTAGCTGGCCCACAAGACCAATTGTATCCATCTTGAGGTGGAGGTTCTTCTCAGACGACTGAGGAAGATAAGAATAATTTGGAAAGATAGACTGAGTAGAATCAAGACACGAACATCCCAGTTGTTCCACAGTTGTTTGTATTTTAACGGGATTTCCATTGATCCTTTTGTATCGTTAACTTCTAAGAAAACAATAATGTTAAAAAATAATTGAAGATAAACAAACAACATTGTGCACTATAAAATTGTTTAGAATTTTTGAAACAAATTTAATTTTGATATTTTTAAAAACATTACTTCTTGTTTTTAGGTATTAGAATAACTTATCTCATTTTTTATTTAGGGAGAATATTTATCAAAATTAATATCAACTTGAAATAGATATCTTAGAAGCTGATTATATTAGCAATAAGCTCATATGGTTGACCATACTAATGGAATATTCAAGCCACTGTTTGCTAAAGAAAACAAAAAATAATCTACTTTGAAATGAATACAGTATAACATTTTATTAAAATTTAGAATGATTAAATTTTGATCTCAATAACTTAGCTCAAAATTTCACCATTTGCTAATTATAATATATACAAACTTTGCCTCCTAATTAATTGAATAATCTAAAGATATGGCAACTCAAATTCATAAGAAAATTCAAGCTTCGTTTATGACAACTTTCTTACTGTTTTATAAAGCAACTTTTTAATATAGAAATTTCTACTTCAAAAAAATTTTGTAATAAAAAACTACTTTAGAAATGAATAAAAAAATTGTCCCAAATAAAATCTTAGACATGAATAGAACAAGTTGAACTTCTATAAGCATTAGTTGGAGGGGCCGCTTACCTATTAAAATCACTCAAGTAATAAGCAACAACAGCAGCTGAAGAGATGGCAATTTTTATTGCTCTCTTCCAACTGTGAATAAAAGCCTTATATAAGTAGCTTCTGGTTATGTACTGCTGGAGCATGAAGCAAAGAGCTTTCTTCTTACTTAAATGCAAGGTAACAGATATCCTCCTCTTCTTTTTTTTTCCGTAGGAAGAAAAGTATAAAGCTTATTGCCTTCTTTTCTTGAATGCAAGGCAAGGTAGGTAAGTTAGATGGTTCAGTAATTCTTGAAAGGATCAACTACTAAAAGTGAGCAATTTCAGGCTTAGAGAAACTGCATTTATGGATTATTTGTTTGAGTTAAAAAAATATATCATGACAAGACATTAACTCTAGCTCGATTTAAGTTTCATTTATTAAAGATGAAAATTAACCAATTGCAAACACATTTTTGAATAAATAATACACAAATTGCCAAAAAATATTTGAATACAGCTCCATCATTTTTTTTTTTAAATTTACATCAAAAAATGCCATTAATGAAATTTTAATAGACATTAATGATGGTTGATGTGATCTTATTAATTAATTAGGATTTAAATTAAAATAATAATAATTCAAAAGTAGTGGACTGGACTGCACGTTGCTAGGATTTTATTTCTAGTCGTCTCCCTCCTCTTCCCCTGCTTTTCTCAGCGTACTGGACCGCACGTTGCTTGCGTTTCTTCATGAATTTACGTCTTGTTCATTCCATGGAAGTCCTCTTACCCCTTTCTCTGGTTTTTTCTTTTCGTTAGTCGTCTCTGGCCGGCTAAAGTTTTGGTTTTTATTCATTTTCTTCGACTTTTCATTTGGTTTTCCCTGTTAAGAGGGGTTCTTTAGATAACATGGTCTTTAATCTTACAAAGCTTAATAACCCTGATTTTCTTGCTTGTAAAAATACACTGTGTTCCTTTCATGATGTTTTATCTGGTTCATCATTTACCTATGCGGCTTTTTTGGAACTCAAACCCACCACCCATTGTGGGATGACAGTTTTGTGGATTTCTGAGTAAGAGATCGAAGCATTAGGTACCCCTTTCAAATTTGCATTGGCAGGGAAATTTACTACCGACAAGTCTAAATTGGATCTAATCCTAAATTTCTTTTTTAATCTCCAGCTTTTAGACCATTTTTTTTATAATGCTTCTTGATTCTCATCATGGGCTTATCAAATTAGCTAACAACCTAGATTACGGCCGTGTTTTTGGGCATAAATCATACTATGTTTTCAATTGTTATATAAAGCTTATGAAATGATCACTATTGTTTGATATCAAAGCATACTATTGCTTAATATTTCTTCGAAAGGAAGAATTACAAGATCAAATGCTTCTTTTAAAACAAATGTAAATGGTTAGAAACATAATTTGGATTATTAGAGGTGTGAGCAAGTTTGATACTCGTCTTCATATTCGTAACATTTTTGACAGAAATAATTTAATTTTCATAACAATTGTAATGGTCTTGGTTTGTTGAGGGAGATTTTATTATTATGTCAAATGCTTCTGAAAATGTTTATGGATTGTGGATTGTGGTTTGACTGATATTGACTTTTTCGGGTCTTATTATACATTGTCTAATAATAACATTTGAAAAAGATTTGATATAATCTTATTTAACAATGAATGACTTGTTTTCTTATTTTCTCTGTAGAGCATCTTAGTAGAACAAATTCTGATCATGTTCCATTAGTGTCTAAAATTAATCATGTTAATTCCAATGGTTTTCTTCTTTTTGCTTCCAAAATATTTGGCTCCATGCTCCTAATTTCTTCAAGGTGGTTAAGGAGAATTAGATGGCTCCTATGCCCTATATTATTGATACTAATGACACGGTTATATTGACTTTAAAAATGAAAAGAGTTAAGCATGTTATTAGATGGTGAAAGATTTATCTTTGACAATATATTTGTAAACATATTGAAAGCTGAAGAAACTGTCATTAACCTTGAAAATAATTACTCTATTGATTCTACTGGGGATAATTGGAATCAAGTGTGCAATGCTAAAAATAATCTTATTTACTTGTAGAATATTGAAGAAACTTACTGGATGCAAAAAACTATTTTTAAACACCTCTTTGAGGGTGAGATAAATACTGAGTATTTTCACGCCGTGGTCAATACAAACAAATTTAAATCGTTCATCAGCAAAATTAAAGTGGATTCTGGTGTACGGAGTGATGATCAGGATGTGATTGCTAACTCGATTATTTCATACTTTAAAGAGTTACTTGATTGGGAGAAGGATGTTGGGGTTATCTATTTTCCCCAATTCATTCCTTCCCTTTTATGCCCAGATGATAATTGTAATTTATCTAAAAGCTATAATGAGCTTGAAATTTTCATCTCTTTAATTGATATGAATAAAGATTCTATAACGGGGCTTGATAGTTTTACAAGTTTGTTTTTATAAATGTTGGTCATTCATCAAAACATATCTTTGCAAAACTGTCTTGGACTTTTTAATGGTTTTTGCATTCCAAAGTTTTTTACTTCTTCTATTATGCTGACACCTAAAACTGAAATTCCTAAAACTTGGAATGATTTTAGACATATTAATCTTTGTTCTACTTTTAACAAGCTTATTTCCAAGATTCTAGCATCTAGATTGGCACTCATCCTTCCTAAAATTATTTATAGGAATCAAACTAGTTTTGTTAAGGGTAGAAGTATAGCTGACAATGTGTAATTATAGCTCATTCGGAGAAAACATCGGCATTCTCGAGACATATTTTCTCTGCTAGGGTTTCCTCTTGCCCTAGCTGCCTTCCCCGTTGCCTGACCTTTTTTCAGGAAAGTTCTCAGCTGCCTTTTTTTAGCATCTTGTTGTGTCTTCTTTTATCGGATTTATGGCATTTCCCTTATTTAAGGACCCTGGTTTTTTGAATGAGTCTTCTTCCTCCCTTTCATTTAAGGCTACCTTAGCTAGTTCTTTTCATTGTTCGGTATTTCCTAGTCTTAAAATTTCTTCCCACCATGGTTTGCTGGCCTTATGGATTTCGGATGTGGAAATTCAAGTACTCACTGCTCCTTTCAAATTCACATTAGTTAGCAAGTTTCCGGGTCATAGGCATTCCATTGATGCTATTAGAAAATTTTTCTTCAATATGAAATTGCATGGTGAATACTCGGTTATTATCCTCAACACCAGGAGTGTTCTAATTAAGCTTTTTAATGACTTGGATCAATGTAGGATTTTTGCTCATCGTTCCTACTTTGTGAGTAATTGTTTTATGAAATTGGATAAATGAATGCCTTCTTTGGATATTGAGATTGAATCACCTATCATTCCTATTTCGACATTGTTTCCTAATCTGCGGCCTCACCTTTTCTCTCCATGTATACTCCATGGCCTTGGTTCTGTCTTCGGTCGAACTTTAAAGACTGATAAGGCTACTTCATATGGTTCGAGGTCGTCTATTGCTCATGTCATGGTAGAACTAGATGTTACCAAACATTTCCCTAATAAAATTTGGGTTGGCTTCGATAACTTATGTTACATCCAATCTATGATAATGGAGGAATTTCCTGCGTATTGTGTACATTGCAACTCATTAGGCCACTCGAAGGTGGAATGCCGTGTTTTACACCCACACCTTAATAAGTCAACTACAGTTAATCCCCCTCCTTGTGTTCAGCCCTCTATTGTTGGTGGTTATAACGTATTGCTTGGGTGTGGGGAATTATTATTGAGCTTCCCTTGATTATGAATGATTCATCTAATCCCGTGGCTTTGGCCCTTGTGGTTTCGGATGCTAGTGTCATTGCCTCGAAAAATTTGGATCTTGATAATAGTAAAGATGGTATCTTAGAAGTTATTGCCTATTGAGACCAGTGTTCTGTCATTGGTGAGGATTTGGTTTGTCCTATGCAAGAGGAGACTGATGGCTTGCAGGTCGTGGGTGTGGTTAATTCATATTTGTCTAATGTTAACAATATTGGTATGAATGGTTCTGGTATGATTGAGGCTTCAGATGTATCTCCATTACCCTTTGAGGGGAGGGAGTCTATTGTTGATGTCCTTGTGGCTATTATTTATAATGAGGAGTTAAATGTTCATTTGAATACTTATGATACTTGTTTATCTCAAATTGATTGGATTGATGAATCATTCTACTCACTTGGTGGGGTTGAGCCCGAGGAGGAATTTAATGAGATGTTTAATTTGAATGTGAAACGTTTAGTGGAGAAAGCCTTCTCTCAGGGGGGTGGAAAACGTCGTCGATGCAAACACAAGAGATAGTAACTTTGGATTTGGGGGCTATTACCTGGGGTTGATAGTAGTTTTGGATTGGTGTATATCTGTGAGAGTGCTTTTGGGGCTTCTTGGTTGTGGTTCCTCTACCTACTTGTTGTTGCCGTGTCTGAATTTTGGTGGACAATGATGAGGCATATTTCTTGCCCGCCCCTTGGATGGCCTAAGCTTATTTTGGAAACCTTGGTGGTTGTAGCTTGTTCGATTTTGGTGGCTTTTGATGGACTTTGAGTATTTGGAACTTTTGACTATTGCTTTATTTCTCTCCTTGGATGGCCCAAGCTTGGCAACAGGGGGGGGGGGGGGGGGTGTTTTTGAGTCCGGCTTCCTTAGGGGATTTTATTCTCTGTATTTTCAGTCAGATTCGCTTTTTGTAGTTTTTGTTACTGTTTTGATTGTGTTCTCTTGTTCTGGCCACCTATTGGCCTTGAGTTGTATGGTTTCTCTCTTTTATGAATAAACTTCAAATGTTACCTTAAAAAAGTATAGATGATAATGTTCTGCTTGCTCAATAATTAATTCATGACATTCATAAAAAAGTTCCTGAACATAATTTAATATTTAAGTTGGATATTTCTAAGGCATATCAGTTGATCTTTTATTTTCAACACGCTCATCTTTTTGGACTTCATGACAACCTCATTAAGTTTATTGAAAACATTGTTGAATGTCTACTTTTCAATCATTATTAGTGGTAAATCTAAATGTTTTTTCAAAACTTCAAATTTTATTCAAATTTGGTTCAAACCTATTTCCATTTGAGAAGTGCTATAAAAGTCAAATCTTATTCCAATATAGTTCAAACATAGATCAAACCACATTCGAAGTTCGAACCAATTTGAACTACTTCTATTCTAAACTCAAGCATTATTCTAAGATTGCTCAAATATTGATCGAAGTTTATTCAAATATGATTTGAACTAATAATCATTTCAACACAAATGTGTGATTATATATTAAAACATTATAATGTTGTGATATTCTTACAATGCTATTAGAAGAAATCTCACATGAAATAATCAACATATCAACGATGTCTATAAGAGGAAAAGTTATTCTGTGCAGACACCAGACCGTCTGGAGACCAATCAGAACGTGCCACATCATCCAGCACACAACGGTATCAAGCACCGGTACGGAGCAAAAAAATGATGTGACGCGTTCTGGTTGGTCTCCGGACGCTGTCCGGGGTCCGCACAAAATAATTTTTCCTATAAGATAATGTAATTTTTGTGAAGTTGTGCATGGAGGAAATGGGAACAAATGGTGCTTATCCATGTTCAAAGCCCGATATTGGCAATATTTCGAGTAGAATAGATAAACTTTCCTGATATTTTCATTCTCAAATGAACTTTGGGGATATTTGGCAAATCAAAATCATAAAATATTTTTCTCAATAATTATATTATTGAAGATATAAAGTGAAATTTCCCTTTAAAAATGGAAATTTTGAGAACCAGAAATAATTAGCAATCTCTATCCTCTTGCAAAAATCCAATATGAAAGCTTAAGAACCAAGTAATCCTCTCGCAAGAGACCATGGACCATTCAAATCCTCGTTTAGCTCATTGGATCAAGCAAGGCACCAAAAAAAAAAAAAAAACCGGTCTTCATTCAAAATTTCGCAGTAGAATCTTAACAATTGTATAATCAGTACAGAAGGAGTAAGGAAAAAAGAATCGCCAACAGGATTTTGGCCACAATTAAGATTTAGTAAATCCTGTAATTTCAGATTTGGTAAATCTTGCCAGCAGAAGACTGATTGGCATGAGGAAAAAACCGAAGCTAAAGCAAGATTTAACAAATCCACACAATTCTGTTCGAAAACATTTAAGCAAAATTGGGCTCAAATCCTGCCAATAGTAGGATACAAAGCAGAATCAATTGCATTCCGAGTCTCCCAGTTTCAGAAACAACAATCCCTGCAGCTATTCAAATCCGAACTTCCATTTCCATATAGATTATATGAACTATAAGAAGCTAGAATACAAATCCAAAATCAATTTCTAAGATGCAGAGAAAACAGTTCAAAGTTGATAAAAAGGTCTGATCTCCGTAAAATCTACACTTGTTCAAAGAAACTCCCCCAAAACAGCCAAAATACAGTGCGAAATCGAGGGTAAAATATAAATACTCAATATCTAGGGTTGAATTAACCGGCGTAGACGTGGACTCCGACTGCGAGGAGCAAGATTGAGATAACGGCAAAGTAGATGATGGAGTGGATGAAGATGGAGATTCCACTAGTCTGCATATTAGCGAATTCGGCGAGGCGGTTCTTGCCAGGGATTTGAATGATGAGCCCAGGAGTGAGGAGGACGAACAGCACTACAGCCACGAACACTGGGCCCCAATCCGCCATTTCCACTGCCGCCCGCCGGAGGAGAGAAGAAGAGTGAGGGTGTGGGGACGAAGGAGATAGGAAGACTCGAGGGGAACCAGGGACTGCCAACCCTTTGATCTACTATGCACCTAAAAACAATAAAAAAAATTTTGTGTCTTTATTTCGATATAAAAGTTTTTTAAATTTATTTTCTGTAAGGTTATTATAAACATTTTTAATAACATAAATCAACCAATCCCAAATTTTATATGCTCTTTTGGGACTCAATAATGAGAAATTATTCTGCGCGATCACCGAATAACATCAATAGACGAATAAAAATATATCACATATTTGTACCACTACGTACTAGATGACATGACACGTTTTGATTCTCCTCTAGACTGTTTGGCGGCCGCACATAATAATTTCTCCAAATATTATAGACTCTGAGACAATTTTTTCGCAGTATAAATCGATTAATCACAAAATTCGAGCTTTATATACTTCAAATTTGATGCTTAAAAAGCACTTTAAAATATTCTGATATATATTTTTTGAAAAATTGAAAAAATATTAATTTTTTTAAATGCGTGGAATATAAATTAATTTATATAGTTTTAAAAAAGAAAATTTTTAGCCCTTATGTGAGATCACTCAGCTAGAGGTGTCAATATTGGACCCGATTCGAAAATTCAACTCGAAAATTTTGAGTTTGGGTTGACCTGAACCCAAAGCAAGTAGGATTCGAGTCCGGAAAACCGACCTGTTTGTAAAACAGGGTCGGGTTCGAGTTAACTCAGAAACCGGGGAATGACCTGAAAAAACTCGTAGTTGCTTCGATTCCCGTCATTGGCTCGTTGCTTTGCTTCCAATCAAAATATTAACTTCTAATCCGACCAGAAGGGAACGTCGTCCATGGAACTTAGGAGCGAAGTTGAACAGCAATGAAGGAGCCAACGAGGGCCGCGAGTTCACAACGAGCGAACTCCTGTCAGTGCTTCTGATCAAAATTTTGTAACTTTCGATCTGACAAGAAGAGAACGTCGTCCAAGACTCCAAGGAGCGAAGTCGAACGACAATGAAGGTGTCGGCGAGGCAGCGAGGTTGCGAGCAAAACTCCCGTCATTGCTTCGGTGCTTCCGATCAAAATGTTGTAACTTCCGATCCGACGGGAAGAGAACGTCGTCCAAGAGCGAAGCCTAACATCAACAAAGGGGCTGAATCCATTTACGGGTGGGTCGGGTTGACCCAAACTCGAAAAGTGTCGAGTTCAGGTTCGAAAAATCGACCTGTTTGAAAAAATGGTTCAGGTTGACCCGAACCCGAATAGTGTCGGGTCAGTTCTGGGTTTGACCCGAACCCAACCCGTGACCTGAAATTGACACCCCTACACTGAGCTATATGAATTCTTTTTCTTCATTGTATCATATTAGAATAAATTTTATTTTATTTAAAACTAATAAAAATAACATTTTTTTTAATTTTTTTTTTATAAATATTTAAATTTTGTACAATTTAACTTAAATTTGATACTAGCTTACAAAAATAAGCACAATTTTAATAGTTTATATTTGAGATAAAGAAAATTTATAAATTGAACGTAGAATTAGGTTACGTAAGAGTCAAACTAAATTTTAATTAAATATTTAAAAAAAATATATTTTTAATTACAGTCTCTTTCATCAACATGATTTTGTCTTTAGTTACTAATATTATAACAGAAATTAGTAAAGCTGTTCTGATCTAAATGTTGTAACTTCCGATCTGACGGGAAGAGAACGTCGTCCAAGGAGCGAAGTCGAACAACAATGAAGGTGTCGGCGAGGCAGCGAGGTTGCGAGCGAAACTCCCGTCGTTGTTCGGTGCTTCCGATCAAAATGCTGTAACTTCCGATCCGACGGGAAGAGAACGTCGTCCAAGAGCGAAGCCTAACATCAACAAAGGGGCTGGTCGGGTTGACCCAAACTCGAAAAGTGTCGAGTTCAGGTTCGAAAAATCGACATGTTTGAAAAAATGGGTCAGGTTGACCCGAACCCGATAGTGTCGGGTCAGTTCCGGGTTGACCCAAACCCAACCCGTGAACTGAAATTGACACCCCTACACTGAGCTATATGAATTCTTTTTCTTCATCAGCTATATAAATTCTTTTTCTTCATTGTATCCTATTAGAATAAATTTTGTTTAAAACTAATAAAAAAACATTTTTTAATTTTTTGATAAATATTTAAATTTTGTACAATTTAACTTAAAATTGAAACTAGCTTATAAAAATAAGCACAATTTTAATAGTTTATATTTGAGAGAAAGAAAATTTATAAATTGAACGTAGATTTTGGTCACGTAAGAGTCGAACTAAATTTTATTTAAATATCTACAAAAATATATATTTAATTACTGTCTCTTTCATCAACATGATTTTGTCTTTAGTTACTAATATTATAACAGAAATTAGTAAAGCTGAGTGGTTTCAAATACATTATCATTATGTTTTAATTTATAATTTATTTGAAATGATAATAAGCTTTTATAAAAGTGATTATAAAATTATTCTAGGAAATTAATTTTTCTTAAACTACTATATAAAACAGCTTTTTAACATAATTTTTTTTAAAATCAATAATAAAACAGATTTATGGTTGCAATCTCAAAGGCAATGAATTAAGGCTTCGTTTGTGGAACAATTATTAGGTCAGGTGACCTGACGTAGCTCTACGTTCGGACGCCAATAACATGTCGCCACGTGGTCTTACTCAATACCGTGCGGCCCGACGACTTGACCCGGGATTGATATATGTTCGCGTATTGCTCGGTATTGCTCGGTATTGCTTGGTATTGCTAGGTATTGCTTGGCAATAATGAAAAATATCACTATGTGAAGACCAATACCGAGCAATACCGAACAAAATCGACTAATACCGAGCAAATACCGAACAATACCTAGCAACACGCGAACATAGCAATCCCGTCTCTGTTCCGGGTCAGGGTTGTCGGGCCGCACTGTGAATAGTGAGAACACGTGGTACTATTTTACTGGCGTCCGAACGTAGAGTTACATCAGGTGACCGGACCAAATAAAAGCTCTCGTTTGGGACGGTTTCTTCGTAAAATGATTTTCTAGTAAAAAGAATAAATTTTTGTACTAAAAGTTACTTTAAGAAGCAATAAAAAAACTGTCACAGACGAAGCTTAACAAATTTATCTCAAACAAATTCTTATAATCTATTTGTTTGTGGAAAATTCTATGCATGTAATGTATGACTATAAATTATTGGAGAAAGAGGTGAAGGTTGGCGAAATGTCCTTTTCTCTTTGATGAAGTTTCTTGGATGTTCTCATCTTGCTTGGCGATGTCATCGTCTATGAAGAAAAGTTGAGGAAAGGAACCTTTCACATGTTGGGAACTTTATAATAATGCTATTAAAACTATATCTATCTCAAACAAATTCTTATAATCTATTTGTTTGTGGAAAATTCTATGCATGTAATGTATGGCTATAAATTATTGGAGAAAGAGGTGAAGGTTGGCGAAATGTCCTTTTCCTTTGATGAAGTTTCTTGGATGTTCTCATCTTGCTTGGCGATGTCATCGTCTATGAAGAAAAGTTGAGGAAAGGAACCTTTCACATGTTGGGAACTTTATAATAATGCTATTAATTATAGCAATTATTATTCATTTGTGGTGAGTGGTCAGTAGTCAGTGGCCACACTATATTAATTTAAGGAAAAAAAATAATTAGATAAGAATATTATGAGAATAATAAATTTGATGTGTCACAAAAAATTGCTTTATCAAGCACGAATCTCAAAGCATGTATAAATTAGAAACTTTTGAAAATTAAATTTGGAATCATGTAAACTCTGCTTTTAATAAACTTATAGTCGAATTAAACTTCTCAAGGAGACAAAGCTAATGACACTAAAATCGATCGAATTTAAGTCCAAATGAGCCATATTCAAAAGATCGAAGCATATTTGAAAGATTTAGTGTATTAATTGGATGATCAAATGATATTAAAATATGGCATGCATGCTTGTAGTTGAATCGAGTGGCTCGACAAGAAGAATCCAACGAGCCTAAGATAAGTTAAATTTAATTTCATTAAGTAACTTAATTACTTGACAAACTCTTCATGATTGAGGGAAATATTATGGGTTGTTCGATGGAGCACTCCGAATTTATCATGAATCTTCTCCAGATGTGCGAAACATGTCACTCTCAAAATCTATAAAATATACCTATTGTTCTCACATGAAGGGGGGCTTAGAACTTTGGAGGCTTAGACTCTAGGCTAGAGACTAAAGAGAATTCTAAGGCTTGAATAATCCTAGAGTTCCACCATGGCAACACCGTTAGTTAACCCCCACTTCTAGACCGCCGCTGTTGGAACTTTGCTTGACCATTACCATTGAACCTCTGTCAGGTAGCCACAACCATGCCTTCATCAAACATCCATCACCAGCCAACTAAGATCCCTCTGACCACCATCGCCTGCTGACTACGGCCCCTCAGATCATAGTCGCCTGCTGGTTACAGTTCCTCTAACCACAATCACCCGCCGACTACGATCGATCCGACCCTATGACCTCTGCTGCCTGCTGACAACAATCTCTCTGACCTCCTTTGACGGATGACTACAGTCCCTTCAACCATCATATCTGCCGACTATGATCTCCTATACCTCTATCGCCAGCCGACTAGATACCTTTGACCTCTGTCAAGACGCAACGATCATCTCGATCTCATTTGTCCAACAATAATCCCTTCAACCTCTATCACCTATCAACTATAATCTCTTTAATCATCGTCGCTTGCCTACTACGATCTCTCTGACCTTCATTGTCTGCCGACTGCAGACCCTCCAACCACCGTTGCCCGCCGACTACAATCCCTCCGACCTCTGTCAACAACCGACTAAGGTCCCTTTAATCTCTATCACTAGAAAATGGTCCCCTCAATCTTAATTTCCAGCTCTCAGTCCCTTCAACATCTGTTGTCTGACTAAGCTGCCTTCAACCTCTGTCAAATGACCACCATTTCCCTATGACTATAATCCCTCCGACCTTCATTATCCGTCTATAGTCCCTCTAACTAGGGGTGCCAATTTATGACATAACCAAAACCCAAAATTGGAAATCTACTTTGGGTCAACCTGTTTAACA